CACCTAGCATCTAGAACCACCTTATAAAATTCTAGAGCGAGTTATTGTACTGACCGATCTACAAACTCCGCATAAATGGGACTGAAAAGAACTTCACTGTAGAAAGATTAAAACCCGCTTACATTAACAAATCAGACACTGATTGTGAATCAGATTCGAATTCACATTACAGACCATCAGCAACGAAACCAACTAAGATGACCCCAAAAAAGACAATTACGTTTAACATATGACATAATATTAACTTTTCTTTTGACAAATAGCCAATTAATAGCAATTTTTTCAAATTTTAGGGGGAGTACTATGGCGTCCACTGACATCTTGCCATAATTAAAAATAAAACAAAAGTTATTCTTAGTAAACATAATCATCTTTTGTTATATACGTCAATTAAAATATTTGATCTAAAAGGTTAAAATATTCGTATTTACTGATCGAATTAAATCTTCATCAAAGTCAAATCGTGTTTTCATTTATAAATATATAGTTTGTAAAACTATATATATATATATATATATATATATATATATATATCTTATATATAAAATTCTTCTGTAACAACGTATGAATGGTTAATCCTCTTAAATTATTATTCGGATTTTCATAAATCCTCGTGAAGATTGTTAAGGGAATTTTCTAGGATTTTTTGATTCATAGAAATATAGTTAGATTGTAGAAAAAAATAGAAAAAATTACAAAAAACCGCTTATCCTTGTTTGACCTTGAAAATATTTAAGGCACAGTTTGATATTAAAAATAAATGAAGACTGTCATTTGCCAAACATTTCTATTCGCTTATAGGCTAAGGCAATATTAAAATATAATAAATTCATGATTATAAATAAGAAAAAATTAACGTCTACATTATTATTGCCGAAAAGCAGCTGAGATGTGCCAAAAATTAAAATAATATAAGATTTACACTCAACATGCGTCTGACAGGTGATGTAGTCTGCGCATGCGTACGTCAGTGATTACACATCAAACTTAGCATATAACTCAATTTGACAGATTATTATTAAATGCAGTCGTGTTTTGCCTTACTTTACTAAATCACAATACAAAAATAATTTACTTTCTCAAAAAATTATCTAGGAGTTTCATTATGTCAAAAATTCATATGTTTGACATTGGATACGAAATATTTACTCAAGTCAATGAAGAGTTTTGGGTCTGAATATTTTTTATGTGCTCCAATTAGCATGGAATTTTGGAATTAGGTTCATCTTAAGCCCGAATCACACGACGCTTGTTTTGCTGCTTTATGGCTCTGCTTGCCAGGTAGCTGGCGGTCGAGGGTCCAAAATGACGTCATAGGGATCTCTGTTTCTTGCCAGCATGCTGGATTTCAACATTAGAACGTGAGCTATTTTTCGAGATGGATTTGCCCGTCCGGACCAAACGGGTAGCAGTAGTTTGTCACATGGTTTATCATGTGATGGCACTGCTGTCAAACTTGAAGAAAAAGTGCGACATATTTTGCAAAAACATAGTTTTTTCGAATTTTATTTTATTTAGATAATTTAAAATAATATAAACGTAAATGATATTCAAAAACATTTTCTATTTCATTTAAGTATAAACATTTTATTTGCTTATTTATATATAGAAACATTTTGATTTTAATTAATTTTAATTATTTCATTTAATGGAGAAATATTATTGAATATTATATTTATAAAATCCACAAAAAAAATATTTAAAATTAATTAATATTTAAAATTAAAATATATATTTATAAATTTTACTAAAACAAAAATTAAATTTTTACAATATTATTTATTATTTGTATTCATTATAATAAAAATGATTTTATTTATTTTTAATAATGATATTTCAATAATTAATTTTAATTCAGATTTATGAAAATTTCAATAAATTATATATAACTTTCCATTTTTTTTAAATTATTATATTAATTATCGCTTTACTATATTAATGTTATTGAATTGTTTTTATTAAAATTGATATTATTTCCTATGGCCCGTATTAAACAGAAAAGATAAAATAAAAGTATTGTTGTTAATGATTTGTGTTGAATTTCGAGGTTATGTCGCACGCTACCGATTCATTCACTCACCAACGCTCAAAAACAAGCCTCGTGTGATGCGTACGGCTTGAAAAATATCATGATTTACAGCACCGACAAAATCATTTACAGCGGCGAAAAAATCAAGCAGGCAATCTAGCGTCAGAAAACAAGCGTCGTGTGATTCGGGCTTTACTCTCAAGTTTAAAAGTGAAAATAATTTAGACTCCTTTGCCACTTCCCGAGGGGATGACATTTCTTTTTAGTGGAGTAATTTTACTTTTTTCAAAATAACATCGGATATCGATAAAAGAACTAATTAGAAGAGAAAAATGTTTAATAATGTTTTTAAAAAAAGAAATTACATTTCAAGTTACTGGCTACTGATTTTTATTTTTGGCGTTTTTCATCGTTTTTTGCAAATATAAAATCATGTAATGAACAAAATTATATCAATTAAAATTTTAATCAATCGGTGTTTTATAAAGTGTTCTAGGAACAATATTAGACTAGATATGAAAATAGAGTTTAATAGTTCTCAAAATGAGCTTTAAAATAAGTACTTCTGCGTGTAAAATGAATGAGCTATCATGCAGATAAAAGACGCATACAATTTCTTTTTTCATTTAAATCAAATAGTTCATAAGTGAGTTTATGAACTTAAGATAAAGATTAGCCTATTTCCGACACACGTTTTTTCCTCTCCATTTACTGCAATAATTTTGTTGATCGTGCGTTGAATAAAGCGCATGTGAACAGGATTCGACTTAAATGATGCATGTAAACAGGATTTGTGACTCAATTCACTTCAAATATGAACATAAACTAGTGTAGTGCATGGCATCGTGCCTTAAGGCTAATTGCTGGATCTTCCCGTTCCGTAATTAAAAATCTTGGTACGGAACCACAAAAAAATTACACAAAATGTGTTCACAATGATCAAATTTCTATAAAATATCTGATAATTTGATGTACATATGTCCAATAAACATTTTTGAACGCAAAATGACATTTTTTTAACTTATTTTTATTGAGAGTCAATAACCGCTAAATCTGCCTTCCCAAAAATTTAATCAGAGTTCATCTTGTCAATACAAGTAAAATCTTTTTTGAATTATTAAAATCGGAAGCTCCGTTCACACACACACACATATACATCCCACATACATCACACATACACACACACATATATACATTCATTTTTTTCTAAATATGCCAAAATATTCAGAAACCTTTCAAACGTAAAGATATATAAACATTTTCATTTTCGATTTTTATGCGATCACTATAACTCGACTGAATCACATAGTCAAAAATATTCATTTAAAGTATATAAGTGAGCTTTAAAACTTTAGCCAGAATTAAAATTGGAATCTGAATTGTTTTCGATATACAAAACAAAAATTGATTTTTTTTTCCAAAAGCAATTGTTTTGTCAACACAAGCTGAAAGTTCTTTGAATCATTGAAATCGGACGCTTAATTCTCTCAAAGACTGCAATTTTTTGCATATTTAGCTCTGTATCTCCGAAACCGCTGGACCTGCTTTTGCCGAAAACTAATCACCCCTTTTCCCCGTCATTACGCATTGAATGTTTTCTGGATCATTCAAATCGGATGATCCGATCTCTTAAAAACGCTATTTATATTGTTTGCACTCTTTGCTCCGTATCTCCAAAACGGCTGCTTTTACCAAAAACTAACCAGCACATCTCATTATCAATAGGAATCGAATGTTTTTTTTAACCATTCAAATCGGTTGATCCGTGCCCCCAAAACGTAATTGCAAAATTGTATCCATACATACATACACACACATCCATTTATTTTATCTTTGACGCGTCTCCTTATCAATACGAATCGAATGTTTTTTGAAGCATTCAAATCGGTTGATCGGTGTTCCCGAAAACGTCGAAGAAAATTTGTTTCCACACACACACATACATCAATTTTTTTTAATTATATATCTTTGGGTTCCAAATCCTTTGGAACGTAAAGATATATAAACATTTTCATTTTCGATTTTTTTGCGATTACTATAATTTACCCAACTAGAAGTTAATTATAAGAAAAAAAAATTATAATGTTTTTCAAAAAAGCGAATACTTTTCTAGTTACTAGCTACTGAAAATTCGTTTCTTTCGGTTTTATAGTACTCGAAATAAGCTATGAAATGTGTACTGTTAAGGTTTTTTGTCGTTGGGTAAGTTGTCGTAATCGTCCAAAAATCGAAACTGAAAACTTTCATATTTCTTCACGTTTTGAAGTTTTCTGAAAATTTTGACATACCTGAGAAAAATTTGATGTGTGTGTGTACGTGTGTGTGTTTTTTTTGTATAGAAAAGGAAATGTTTTTACGCATCCCAGGCTGGTGTTTTATCTTGGTATGTCGGACTCAATACCGCCCTGCTATAATTCCTACTAAAACTTCCGCTTTACCCTTGCATCTGGTTCCCACGGAAACCGCTGTAAGGCATTACTTTGTGGAGGGAGGATCTAAAATGAATCATAATTAACTTGAATTTATAGTCATCTTTTAAATGGGCAAAGTACCATTCGACGCTTCTCTTTCCATAGAACGCAGGTCAATTAGCACCTCTCTCGGAAACCTGTCTATGGCATTCCAAGCGGTTGTCAGCATCACTTCAACAACAGTACCTGGAGTAATTCTTCGCCACAATGTCTCTTCCACATCGTCCCTTAGAGCACTAAATCGCGGGCACATGAAGAACACGTGTTCAGCATCTTCGATTTTGCCCAAACAATATGGGCAATTCGGCGAGCTATCGTGCTTGAAGCGGTGTAGGTAGGCTCGAAAACTTAAATAATTTACTTCTCTACGCTTGAGATTTAGCCAGACATTGATTTTTGAAATGAGACGGTGCGTTCATGTGCCCTTCACTGCAACATGCCACAGTTGCTGCCAACGGTCAATGCTGTTCTCCTTTCTTCTATTCTCAACTTTTCAGGACTCAGTTGTTGATGTCTTCTGCTAAGATTAATAGAGGCAGAGTTCCTAAAATAACGCACACTGCTTCCTCCAATATCGTGCGAAAAGCGAAAGCAATCCTTAAAGCATTCAGACAATATATAGGTCCTGTCATTCTCCTCGATTGAGTTTTGAGGGCATCAGCCCATATGGTGATACCATATGTAAGCACCAAACTAACCATTGATGATAGTGATATCCTTCTGGTTTGTTTAGGGCCTCCAACATTTGGCATCAGTCGAGCATGTCTCGTCCTAACTATTGGCGCCTTAGCACTGACGTGCTCCACCTGTTGATTAAAATTCAATCGAGCATCAAGCATTACGCCGAGGTAACAGTTGTGAGGTTTCGACGTTATCTCTATATTTCTTATCTTCAGCTTGATGCTCTTTATTGTTTTCCTACTCGCGAAAAAGATAGCTTCACTTTTTTGTTGTGCTCATTGGAGGTTCATTGTTCCCATCCAGCGATTATTTTTTTTAAGGTTATGTTAAATAGACTTACGATCTCATCAATTTATTTTGAGACAAACACTACAGCTACATCGTCTGCACATGCTACTAGTTTCACACATGCTAAAATCTCAAGTCTCAAAAAGCCATCATAAATAATATTCCACAGCAAAGGGTCTAGAACAGAGACCTGTGGTACACTTCCTGTTATATTATATTTTTCTGTATCATCGCGTAAATCGTACATTAGAATTCTCTCTGTAAAGTAGCTTGCGACTTTATTGCAGAGGTATACTAGCACGTAGCACGTTTTTGTCACGTAGTGCATTCATAACGCAATCCCAGTTTGCAGAATTAAAAGCATTTTTTATATTCAATGTAGCTACAAGACAGTACTTTTTCGCACCCCCATGCCATTTGGTTCCAGCAATTGCTTCCTTGGCGGTATTAACTACCAAGTTTATAGCATCGATAGTCGATAGCCCTTTGCTAAAGCCATACTGATTATCTGCTAGGAGTGGGTCAACTACTGCACCTATTCTTTGGTGAATTATTCTTCCAAAAATTTTACCCGCTGTATCCGTCATGCATATTGGATGGTAGAAAGTTAGTCAGGTTGTTTTCTTCCTTTGGGAAGAAGCACTAATCTTTGCTGTATCCATTTTCGTAAAAAACAGTGTTATAGGTAGAATATTATTAAGTTCTACATGTGTTTCCTGTTAGTTTAAAATTTGGTTGCTGTGGAAACCAAGTAGTTACTATTTTATTCAATAGTCCTGGGCAAGTTGGTGAAGTCATTGGCTAACCTCTCACGAGGCTATTGCTAACAAAAGTAAGGACTATTATTGACCTTGCACTGCCCTTGACAAAGGTTGGCTTATTACCGCTGTTTAGTAAAACCACATCAAGTGTAGTAGAGTCCTCTAAAAGTGCTTTACTTCTTGCATTAGTCTTCCTACTTCCCCAGTCTACCGCCCATGCGTTGAAGTCACCAGCTATCGCTACGGAGTGATGTCGTTTTGCATCCTTTACTAAACGATCTAAGAAATCAACAAAATCTGGCAAAGAAAAACTAGGTGGTGCGTAACAGCTGTATAAATGTATGCCATATAATGATGCTGCTACAAATCCAGCGTTGCTATTGTTAACTGGATACAAAATTTGCCAGAGGACCAAATAACAACTTTGGTGGTACTGGTGGTATTATTTACACATATCGGAATGTTCATGTAACTTGCCTTAAGGCAAAACACCAATACCAACTAGTTATTTTTTTAGATATTTCTATATTGAGAGATTTTTTTGTGTTTTGTCTAAATTACTTAAAATTTTCGGATGAAATTTAGATTTTAATTTAATGAATAATGTTGAAAGAGTGTTATCTAAGGTAAAAACTACCCTAATATTATGTTTAATGAAGAGTTTTTTCCATGCGTAGTATAGATCGTTTATAAAGGGTAAAGTAATAGTTCCGACGTAATTTTTGCAGATTGGATTTCCAGTTGAAAAGTTATGGCGGTTTAGGAGGTATAAAATTTTGTTTCTAGTTATGGATTGGATCAAATGCTTAGGATAAAAAATTTTAATTAAGATTTGTGATACTAATGGGAGGTTGTTCTTCAAAAATTTGTTATGAGACGTCTATATAGTCTTTACCTCAGAGAACACTCTTTCAACATTATTCACTAAATTAGTGGGGTGGGTGGCATCGTGCCTTAAGGCAAATTGCTGGAACTTCCCGTACCGTAACGAAATGTTCGAGGAATATTAAATGCTTTCAAATAGATTATTATAATTAAATTCTGTAACATAGTTTAATATTTAAAAGAATTATATAAACTGAATTGCGAAGTTTAAATTATTTGTTTAAAGTATATTAGAACTTTAGTCAGAATTAAAAATAAAATCTGAATTATTTTCGATATCATATATCTATATATATATATATAAAAAATTGGAACAAAATTTTTTTTTCAAAATCAAATATTTTGTTAAAACAAGCAGAAAGTTATTTGAATCATCTGAATCGGACGCTTAGTTCTCTCAAAAACTGTCATTTTTTGCACATTTAGCTCTGTATCTCCAAAACCGCTGGACCTGCCTTTTGCCAAAGACCCCTTCAAATCACCCCTTGAATTGAATGTTTTTTGGATCATTAAAATCGGATGCTCCGATCTCTCAAAAACCCAATTTCTATTTTCTGCACTTTTTGCTCCATATCTCCGAAACAGCTGAACCTGCCTTTGCCAAAAACTAATCAGCACATCTCCCTATCAATAGGAGTCGAATGTTTTTTGAACCATTCAAATCGGTTGATCCGTGCGCACGAAAACGTGGACGAAAAATTGTATCCATACATACATACACACTCACACACACACATCCATTTTTTCCGAGGTATGCCAAAATGTTCAGAAACCTTCAAAACGTCGAGAAATGTAAAAAATTTCAATTCCAATATTTGGCCCATTACAATAACTTACCCTGCAGGAATTAAAATCTAAACTCGATCCGAAAATTTTAAGTAATTTAGTACAAAATAAATTGTCTAAATTGCCATGGATTTTACATTGGCGAAACTAGCCAAAATTTACACAAAAAATCTCTCAACATATATATATATAATATATATATATATATATATATATATATATATATATAGATATATATATATATATATACAGGGCCGGTCCTACCTTGCATGCAATGCATGCAAGAAATGCGGGCGCAAGCCTTAGGGGGGCGCAATTTCGAGCTTTGGATTTAATGTTTATTTTTATTGAAATATAGATTTTGTAGAATACTTAATGAGTTAAATAAATTATAATAAATAACCTAAATTAACATAGTATAAAAAAATAATATTTTGTAATATTATATAATAATTTGGCATCAATTTATAAATCACTCACAATTATTTTAATTTATAAATTTCAAACATACTTTTATATTATTAAAACAAGCGCATTATACAAGCTCACAAATAAGACCATAGCTTGTACAATAAGCACTGTTTATATTAATATGTTATTGCTTGATTATCGATGTCACACGTGCAGGAGCTTGGATGAATCGATCAAAAGACAACAATGCTTTACGTTGTATGAAGATAACATTGTTCCTAATTCTAAATAATGGTCATCTTGATAATTATATAAGAAAGTTCCAAATATGAAACAGTAGTATACGTTCATTTGGCGAGAGTATTGCTAAGGATAAGGCATTAAGCGTTCTAATAACTGCGCAAATTAGTGAATTGTTATTTTTAGTGAATTAGTGAATCGTTATTCTATTAAATATTTTGAGTGATAAGTTTTAATATTTAAGTTTTTTTACGTTAAAAGTAAGCATGGAATCAAAAAAGAAATTATCTGGTGCTCAATTCCGCAAGCGAAAAGCTGTAAAAGAAGCAGATATTCAAAAACAAGCAGGAACTCTTAGCAACTTTATTAAAAAAATTAAAAAGTCTGACACAGGTTGTAGTGAAGTTGATTTAGAAGAAATAAGTGTTATCGAACCGTGTTCTTCAACAAGTTTTTCTAACGATTGTTCTATACCACAACATGATTCAAGTGAATCGCAGCGGTTATATTTAAATGTAGTTGCAGACGAAACTGAGGAAACGGTAATAATTAAAAATTTAGAAGACCCCGCTGAATGGGGCATTATTGACGGAAAACTGCGAGTTGAATTAGTTGAAATGGGTCCTATTCAAAAGAAAAATATTTATCCCAAGGATACTCACGGTCGCAAATTTAATTATTCATATTATAATAGAAAAATGGAAAACGGGGAGTTGGTGCCTAGAACATGGCTTATTTATTCTGAAAAATTGGATCGGGTTTTTTGTTTTTGTTGCAAACTCTTTGCATCTAACGAAACTAATAGTTTTTTAGATGGTTATAGCGATTGGAGAAATCTTAGTACAAGTTTGCATAGACATGAGACTAACCTAACTCATATGAGAATTTTTTTACAATGGAAAGACTTAGATAAGAGCTTAAAAAACAAAACCACGATTGATTATCAGACTCAAAGCTTATATGAGATGGAAAAGAGGCATTGGAGGAGTGCTTTAGAACGCATTATAGAAATAATAAAATTTCTTGCTAGCCAAAATATAGCCTTTCGAGGATCATCTGATAAATTATATGAGAGCAACAACGGCAATTTCTTAAAATTAATTGAGCTGTTTGCAAAATTTGATCCAGTTATAGAAAATCATATTCATAGAGCTCTTCAACCGAACAATAAAGTTCACTATTTGAGTAAAAAAAGCCAAAATGAACTGTTAGAAATTTTAAGTAAAGCGATAAGGGATAAAATTTTACTCTCGCTACGAAAATCTAAATATTATTCAATAATATTAGATTGTACACCTGATGCAAGTAAAACAGAACAGATGACAATTATTGTTCGATTTGTTTCTTTTGAGAATGAAGTTGTAAAAATAAGGGAAAATTTTTTGGGCTTTGTTGATATAACCGATTCCACAGGGCGTGGTTTATGTTCTACAATAATAGATAATTTGAAAAAATGGAACATTCCCATTGAAGACATGCGTGGTCAGGGTTATGACAATGGAGCAAATATGAAAGGGAAAAATAATGGGCTGCAAAAATTACTTTTAACTAAAAATCCTAGAGCTTTTTTCGTACCTTGTGCAGCGCACACTCTAAATTTAATGATTAACGATGCAGCTAAAGTAAATACTGATACAATTAGTTTTTTTAATATAATTCAAGAATTATATAATTTCTTTTCATCTTCTTCTAATCGTTGGGCAATACTTTTAAGATACGTTACAAATTTAACTTTAAAGCAACCTTCAGATACACGATGGGAAAGTAGGATTAATGCAATTCGGCCC